TACGCCCGGAATTGCGTGAGATAATACGATCCGACTAAATTTTTTTTTTTGTTGCATTATTTATGATCGCCAGTGTATTATTTATTATTAAATAAACTATATTCTAAAATTTACAAGAAAAAATTTATTGTTACCATTACTGTTATTATAAAAATTTTATATAATAGATAATGATAATCAAAGAAGATATCATACATTTTATTATTCATAATCGCGATGGCAGTAACCCATAACCCGCGCTTAGAGGGCCGCCCAGGCCGTATACATTTGATTATTGCGCTTTACAAAATTCTACGATCCCTCTTAATTACTAATATTTATAAAAATCATCGTGATTGTGATTGCGATTGCTAAAGCTGACTAATCTATTGCAGCAAAAAGGTGGGACTTCTGCTGATCATCGTATAATGTAAAATCGTGGGATTTACTGATCGATTGATAGAAAATCTAGAATTTTCGACGAAAATCGTAGGATCACACCTTTTTGCAAACCGCAAGGATAAGATGACGTTACACGTGCATCTAACTAACGGGAACTATCTTTTTTACTGTATATATTGCTGTATATATTGTACGCACCTACTTAGGTTGAAATGGAATTCCAAGTACAGCAACCGTTGTATATTTATGACAAATTGGCAGCTTTAACAATCGCAATCAGGGTTGGAAAATTACCGTAATTTTACGTAAGTTTGTATAAGTTTCTGAAAACAAAATTACATATAATTTTTATCATGTGAATTATGCTGGCATTAAAAATTACACTTTCGAACATAATGATGGATATCTATTAGTTCTGGCTAAACTTTTGTAATGTTAAGTTACAATGTAATTCAGGATTGGCATGGACCGGTCAATGGTCAAGTTTGACCAGACCAGTTTGACTAGTTGGTCAAAGGGTTTAGTATTGGTCAAATTGTCAAATAATATATAAAGTATATATATATATATATATATATATTTCTATATTAAAATTATTTATTTAATAGGTTAAACCATTTGACCAGACCAGTTCGACCAACAAATTTTTGGTCGACCAGTGATTTGACCAACCCTGAATGTAAATGTAATTTACATGAAACGTAACAAGTAATACACAATCACGATCATTTTTATAAATCTTAGTAATCAAGAAGGTCACAGAATTTTGCAAAAGCGTAATAAAATTATTAAATTTTAAACGATTACCTGATTTGACTATCACGTTACACCTGACAAACTTTGATTGACCAAAATTACACAGAATAAAAAGAATGAACCAATTTTTTTGTGTGAGAATGCTACATAAAATTATAAAGTATTGGTGTTACAAATATTAGGAATGACGTTAAATTTGGTCAATCAGAGTTTTTTGCATTAAAACAATGTCGGGAAAAGTAAATTTGTTTATGATCCAAGCCAACCTTAATCTAAAGGAACCGGTTTTAATAATTCGGGTTTATCACGTGAATTTTGTAATTTATCCAATTAAAATTTAATTATTAAAACTGGTTCAAACCTAATTATGAAAGTTTAGACACTGTCCAAATTTAATAAGTTATGATTGTAAAAATATATTAAAAGATTTTACTTCAAGGGTTATTAACATACAAATATACAAATATATATATATATAAACATTCTACATGTAAAAGAAATATATGACATTAAAATTTCTAAAAGTATAAATTGTACATATAATTACGTAAAAAAAAAATAATAATAATGACGTGAAGATGAATTAAAATGGAAGCATGAAATAGAAATTACAATTATTACATATGTTATCTACACAGCACTTAAAAATTCCAAAATTGCAGATTCGCAAAACGCATTAAAATAGTTTAAAAGCAAAATTTTGTAGATAAGCTAAATCTCTGAATCGTTCAAATTAATTCTAGGAGGTGGTTCATACCGCAAATATAGTTCCTCTTTGAAATGACGATGTCTATAACGTAATAATTATTAAAAAGTATTTAAAAAAATATATTACTATAAAACAGAAGGGGTATCACTTACTTGATGCCTCTCGGCCGTCTTGCCTCTTCAAAATAGTGAATTGCATCAGATACTGAGATGTGCAATTCTTCGATCATATAACAACAGATCATGAACCCTGTCCGATTAAACCTAAAATCGAATGCAAAAAAAAAATAAGATACAATTGTAAAAAAAAGTACTGCACAAATGGTTGAACAGGTAAACATATATATAACAAGCATTATTTCATTAAATAATTAACGATGTTAAGCTTACCCATAATGACAATGAACAGCGATTTGTTTATCAGGTTTTTTACTCCACGCATCTTTGGCAATTTGAATAAACATCCGTACTTCTTCTCGTGATGGTGGAATTTTGCTTGCTGTACTTAGTTTGTTATATTTAATATGTGAATTATCAAAGTCTTGTGTTCTATAAGGTGGTGGATCTTTGGTTATATCAATGATACTATATAATAAATTTAAATAAAATAAATTGGTTATTTTACAAGATCAAACGTTACAAAATTCATATAAAGGAATTTGACCTACAATCCTATCTCTGGATGCTGCGCTATAAATATTTCTGGAGAATGTTCTTCGTCAACTTGCCGCATAACCTTGAAGAAATGAGATGAGAGTTATAATTTGAATAATCATATATACAAAAAAATAATATACATATTATAACTTTAATTATAATAAAAAACAAACCTTCATTGGTCTAAACAATGTACTATTGACAGTTCGGTCAGCTATCGTTGGAGTTTGTTTCCACTATAATTAATTGTCACATGAGTGCGACAAGAGTATTTTTGGTCACGAGATTATCTTAAAGTTATAAAACAATATCTATGACTGAAAAAGAATAGAAAATCAAAACTGAAAAAAATTCACGCGTCGAACCAAATTTCCATTCTTGGAAAACTTTGGGTGTTCCGAGAAGGGACTATGAACCCGGCGCAGCTTACAGCATGAATTTATTTTTCAGTTGACACACCTTTTGATAATTTTTCATGGACCATTTATTTTCATCTTTTGTTTTATAAACAATTTGCCACGCAGGATCAACTGTATTCAATCCAGATGCCTTTATTAGAAAATCATTAATGATCAAGTTGACGAGGTCAGGGTTTTCCACCATTGGATTATGTCCCGCATGTGGAATCATCACTGGATCAGGTGTATTTGGTGAAGTACACCATTCATGAATATGGATCATGTCACACTGAGGGCTAATTCTGTCCTAAAATAAACAATATAAATAAATGATAATAAATGATAATGAATAAATTATTTAATAAATATTATTTTACGTATTACTTATATATTGAAAATCAATACAGGTTACTTTTATTAAGACAGAAATTATAAACCTAGTCACCTACCTCTTGACCTGCTATAAGCAACAACGGACATTGAATCATGCGAATATCATCACGAGTTATCCATTTAAAACCACCAAGCATTCGTTTCCACACAAAAGTTTTTGATTGTTTATTCCATTTTAATTGTTTTGTTCGTAATCCAACGCTCGCATCTTTATGCAACATACGATTAACACTATAAGAATTGATTCCACCGCGACGATCAAATAAGACGCGGAAAACATCAAAAAATACATCAGGGTAGGATTGAATGGTTTTTCGTTGTTTCAATTCTTTGTCACTTATATCAGCTTTAACCGAAATGAAGGTCATAGCTTTAACAGTATTTTTGAACCGTTGGTACAAAAATGTACCTAGGCAACAACCATATGAATGACAAATGAATACCATAGTTTCACTAGGATAATGTTTCAAAAGTTCTTCCAGATCATCGACCAAAGATTCGGTTTTGTAATCATCTGATCTTTTTTTTTTTTTTTTTACATATAACGTATGATTATCATCTATTAAATTATTATCAGAACCAACACTACTAATTTTACTAATTTTTGTAATTTACCTCTTTGAAATATCACTTCTTCCACATCCTAACAAATCAATAGCCAATACATTTGCAGTGGAAGAAAAATATTCTAATTGATATTCCCACTGTGCAACCTTTATTCGCCCCAAACCCGTTAAGTTTATTATAATAAATATTATTACAAAAAATTTTATAATTGAAAGATAAAAGAAAAAATTGACACAAAATATATAAAAGAATTTTATAAATTCTAACCTGACCACCGATTCCATGTATAAGTACTACTAAAGGGACTATTGATCCAAGTTGGTGAACAATATGAACAATTCGATATCTTTTGTTTCTTATTATTACATATTCCGTATTCTTCTGAATGATTAATGGTTCATCTATTTTGTATTAAAAAAAAAAAGAATATAATAAAATAAAATAAAATAAGTAAGTAAAAATATAAATCAACTTGGTTTATAACAATAAATAAAATATATGACGAAGGTAAGAATTCGAGCATTGAGCCCGTCGACTAATATACCGTCGAAAGTTTTATTCTTCAAGAGATAAGGGGTCAAGAACAAGCCGCACATAGTAACAATAAGTGGAATAATTATCGCCAAGGGTTGAGTAGAAATGCTAAATGGCCAAGACACAGGTAAATAAGTAAACCAAAAGTTGACAATATAAGTTGAATGCATTATTCGAAGGGAGTTCAAAAACTACGCGCCCCTGGCGTGTGTTTTATTTTAATCAAGTTTGTTTCAATAAAATCAAAAATTTTCAGAATTAAAGCACTTTATTACTTTTATATTAGTAGAAAATGGATAACAAAGTGTCAATGTATATTTTTTTAATTTTAAATGCGGTCTTAGGAATAGTTTGGGAAAATCCAATAAATTTTACACCTGTGCGAAATTCTTAGTTTTATAGGTTCCAGCAACTGTCGTGTGCTGAATTCTAATTAATGATTGGCTAATACCTATCCACAAAAGGAAAATGACATTTACAGATCCGGTTTTGGGTCCCAATAATTAACGCACTGGCCCAGTCGATCGGCGAAAAAAAAAAAAGATCGCGTGTGGATAGAGTAATTCATGAATTTTTAGTTTCTCACGTTATAACAATGACCGACCTTAGCACACCTTATCATACAATAAATTCACCTCATAAAGAAATAGAAGAAAAAATAGTTTCTTCTGATGCTAGGTCAGTACAGGTTCGATCAGTAGCATATACAGAAAATGATCCCACTACCGAATTCTTCTGTACGTCATAAAAAACAAACTATCTAATTATCTTCAAAAATAACTATGATTCATACACAATTTCCTCATTTTTATGGATTTTATTATGTATTTTATTTATTTTGTAGACCGTCCGAGGACTTTGACAGTACTAACTGCTATGTTGATCGGATTAGTATATGTCGCAATGTACCCTGAAGCAGACGATACAGCGACAAATATTAAATTGTAAGTGTATCGTATACAAATTTTTTTTTTTTTTATAATTGTTTCAATTAGCATTTTAAATGATCGGAAGAGTATTACAACACAAAAAAAAAATTATTTACAGTGGGACTTGGGCGGGAATTTTTTCGTTCCTTCTTTTTGCGATGTTACAATTCCGAGATGGGCCATTTATTCGACCACATCCAGCATTCTGGCGTATAGTATTGGGTTTTGGTGTACTATATCAAATGTTTCTTGTATTTCTTTTATTTCAGGTATTAATATAAATTTACGTCAATAATTATCAAACGAATAATGGGAAACTAATTGATGATATTAATAATTTAGAACAAACGCGATGCAAGATATATTTTTTCATGCATTGATCCATCTTTAGGGGTTCCACTACCCGAACGTTCATATGCTGAAAATTGTGAATTAACTTATGAGAATGTTAGGGTATGTTGTTCATATTAGCATAACAGATTCATATTGATCATATTCAAATTTTAAATTAAAAAGAGACTTTTGTAATAGGATCAACTTGATATATTTGTTATATATCATATTGTTGGATGGTATGCAAAAGCAGTAGTTCTTCGAGATTATTGGTTTTGTTGGATTTTATCGGTAATGTTTGAAATAATGGAATATTCATTGCAACATCAATTAAATAATTTTGCCGAATGCTGGTGGGATCACGCAAGTATTTTCTCTAATCTAATAAATTTTCACAAAAAGAAAGATTTATGAATTTTAAATAATTCAAATAGTGGATTCTTGATGTTCTGGTGTGTAATTGGATCGGTCTTTATTTTGGTATGAAGACATGTGAATATTTTGAGATGAAAGCTTACTCGTGGAGAGGAATAAAACAAATTAGTTCTTTAAAGGGAAAAGTAAAGCGTACAGTTCAACAATTCACACCACATGATTGGACCAAGTTTGAATGGGGAACGACGAAAAGTTTTAAAAATTATATCGCGGTCATTGGACTTTTGTTTGCGGTGAGCTTTATTATTGTCATAACATGTTATACGTAATTATTGTCATAACATATTTCATGTAATTAAATTATTTGTCGTAACACATTATATGTAATTACTTAAATTATTGCCATAACATATTATACTTAATTACTTAATACTAAATATAATTATTTATAATTAACAGTTTTTGCAAGCCGAGTTGAATTCATTTTATTTGAAATATCTGTTATGGATACCACCAGACAATCCAATCAATTCATATCGTGCGATTTTACTTTTCATGTGTTCTATTCCTGCTACACGTGAAGCGTATCAATATCTCACAGACAAGTAAAACTCATTCTATCTACTGCGTAATTACTTAACTTAGCATTTACTGACGAATTCCATAATTTTTATATACATTAGGGAATGCAAAAGATTTGGACCACAAGCTTGGCTGACGATGGCAAATATAATGACTGAATCCATAATATGTTTTAAATTTGGCAGAGGAGAATTTCCAAATCCTGTACCCACATACGTAGTAATATTTTGGACAATATTAATTAGTTTGTTGGTTGGATATGTTATATGGCAATTTGGAATACCCTTCTTGAAGGAACGATTGGAAACGCCTATAAAGGAACAAACTGAAACGTCGGCGTCACCTTTTGCGAAGCGATTGAAAGACAAGAAAGTGTGAATTGATTTTCTGTATATCGAAATGAATGATACATGGGTTTCATGTGCTCACGTGATAATGGTTGAACATTAACGTTAACGGTAGGGATGTGATCAATTGATCTGCAATCCGGATATCAGTATGTATTTTCTTTGATCCGTTCACGAGATATGAGGTAGCTGTAAATCGCAAATCATCCGTTTCAATTCGTATCAGATTTTCCTTAATTATTTATGCGAGTTGTAGATCAAGGTTACAGTCCTCTCTCTTAGCATTAGATATTATTGATAGGTTAACATTTCGGTTGTTAAACGTTATACGTATACGTAACAGATTTTTAAAAAATAAAATTAACTTTAGTACGTACGTAATATTTTGATACCAAAGATTTGCGGTTTGTGACGATCGAAACATTAAGAGAAAAAAATGTGATAAAAGATATGAAACCGGAACATTTCACTAATAACATCTTAATAATGTTCACAAATAACAGATAATATTCTTTAGCAAAGACCACCGATTAATAGAGTATATCATTTCTAGAAATGGCATTGTGATAAATTTTTTATCTCATGACCATTAGCCAATAGTAAATGAACATGTACGAATGTATCGAGAGCAAGAATTCCGTTTGTCGAAAATATTTAGTAAAATTTTAATTTATTGAATATTTGCAATTTAACTATTTTAATCAGAATGACGGCTCAACTCGGCTCTAGTCAAACCATCGAAATGTGATTGCAAAGTTTGATGCACTTAGAGATAATTCTTTATTTGTTATACCGTGTATTGGCGAAACTTGGTTTCTTTGTATAAACTTCTGTTTGAAAAACAAATACTTAAGGAATTACCAAAAGAGCTATTCTAGCATAGCGCGAAAGCAAAAACACTAACAGTAAACAAAGATGTCTTTGATAACGGATAATCCGGATTTGATGGATTACCGAGTTTGGTACCTAGTGATTCTAACCAGTTTATCGATTTGTTATTTTTGATGTATCATAAGATTGGGTTATCAAAAAGAACAATACAAAAAGTTAGTCGGTTAGAGTCATTATGGATTTCCGTAAATAAATGCATATTAATGGCGTCAAGTGTTTACTATGCTATATGATAAATTCTCAAACAGTTAAAATATGGCGTAGTTGTTTAAATCAAAACGGTACGCGTTACAATAACACCAAAATTAATAGTTATTATAGACTCAAAGAATTCTTTTTGTTTTCTTTTAAACTTATACTTTGCTTTTCTTTGATCCACAAAGAAAATTTAAAATGAAAAAAGGATTTTCTATTTTTAATTATCCAACTTTAATTGCCAATATCTCCATAGATGTTTCAATTTTTAATTACACAACCTTAACTGTCAATATCATTGATGATGCAACCTCGTGTATACTAATTTTAGGGATCGCCTAAGCCAGATAATATATAATTAACTCAAAAACTACGGCAACGTACATATTCTTTGACAATAGACGATTCCAAATTTGGATTCCAGATTTGACTCCGCGTTACACCTAATCGGAATTTGATTGGCTAATAATGGTGTAATGCGGAATTTCGGAAAATGAAATTCTAAATTAATTTAAATTTTAAATTTTATATAAATATCAAATGTCTGATATTCAATCTTTTTGATATAATTTTGGCATTTCCATAAAAAAAAACTACTCCAAACGTTTCAAATATATCAAAACGATAAACAAACATGTCACCTAATCTGTTCAATTAAAATCTTAACATCAGTTTATATCATAGAAAATCACTGCCAGATCAAATTCAACTACCGTCATACGTACGTACAAGTAGTACCGGAAATACTTATTTGTGCGAGTGATACAAACCCACAAAAGGCAACTCAATGTTAAAATAAACCAAGTTCGTGAAATTAAAAATTTAGGGCTAGGATGTTTGTTGTTAGAGGCGATAGGAATAAGTAATCGTTCTCTAGATGTAAAATTTCATTCTCATTATTTTTAATTAGTATAGCATAGCGATAGTGAACAATTTAAAATTTGGAATCGGTTTTATTTTCATATGTTAACCCGATTAAACCCGGTTTTAATATATTATGAATTGTGTGGTTTGGCATGCCATTTGTTTAAGTTCGCGCCAGAATGTTACCTTATGTAACTCATCTACGAAAAATCTTTTGGCATATGCTAATTAGATAAGAATCAGGTGTAAAATAAATTTTTTTTTTAAAAAAAAAATATTAATAATTTGAAAGTTTGTTCATTAACTTGTTTTTTGTATTTTAACAAAATATTGGTTTAAATTTTTTATTTATTTATTTTGGTTTTCTATTGTACTTGATTTTGCATTTAATTGGTAAAAATTATAATATGAATATTTTATTTAGATAATCATTCTGGTTATTTTATTAGTATTTATTTAAAATATATATTTTTTTAAATCCTAGTAGGTAAAGAAAGATTTTATTACATATTTACAAAATATTTTACTACCTAGTTATTTAGGCCAGTGTTGGCACGGGACAGTTGTCAACATGATTTGGACATTTGTAGACATTTTTTGGACAAATAAATAAATTAAAATTTTATTAAGTTAATCTATTTTAACTTTTTAAATAAAAATATTCAGCACTATAAAAAATGTATAATTATATATTATTTAAATTAATATATTAAGTTTTAGAGCTTGTATATGCTGTGGACTTTCTTGAACATATAGGCATTTGAACATTGGATATGGTCAAAAAAAGTCTTGTTAATTCAATACAAATTGTTAATATTTTGCAACTATTTTATAATATTTTATTACATATCTTGTATATTATATTTAGTAGTTAGAGTTTTTGTTATTTTTGAATAATATTGTTATTAAACTGCTTTGCTTAATAATGAGATTCAAGTTTTGTTAACTGTATTAACTTATATGTATTTTAATTTTATTACTTTTAACTAATATTAGTTTTTTATATTTCTTATTATTTTATCTATAACAATTTTCAAATTAATAATTTTAAATAAATAAATTTTTTCATCTTATATTTTTGGTTTGCTTGTTATTAATTTTTTAAAATATTTTAACAAATTTTTTTTTAATATTAGAATGCTTTTCAAATTACTGTAATCAGCAATTTTATATATCATGTATTATACAGGAATCTGGAAATCTGAAAATTAGAAATTTAAAAATTTTAAATAAATATAAAAAATTTTTTTAAAATAATAAAATTTTTTGCTTTTTTACAAATTAATTAAGTGTCTTATAGATGCAGCAAATACCAAACTTAAATATCATCATAGTATATGCTTTGGGTACCAGAAATGCTTATATTGTACAATAAATTTGTATAAAGAGACTTGCAGTTGTAAAATATCTGTAGTACTAACAAAAAAAAATAGAATCAGTTTTATTAAACAAGCATATATACATTCTTATAAACCTATCTGAATAGCACCAAAGTTTAAATTTGTTTATAAAAGAGTATGAAAATATAATTATAATATAAATTTAAAAAAACTTTTCAACTTTTCTCTTTGTGGATACTGTCATAATGTCTTAGTCAAACTGAATTCTAAAAATGCTAAAAAGAAAACAACAAATATAATAAAAAATAAAACAAATATAATATAATTGTTTATTATTTATTAAATAGTTATATTTATTTATTAATTTATATTTATTTATTAATTTATATTTATTTATTAATTTGTATTTATTTATTAATTTATATTTATTTTATAAGAAATGGTTGAATTGTCTTCTTTACACATATTTGTTACAACAAATAATAATATAACAAGTAAAGATAAAATGAACAATAAGATTGAAAATAAAATAAGTAATAAGGATAAAAATGAAATAAGTAATAAAGATAAAGAATCTGAATTCATATTGGTTTATAAATTATTTGTAAAATTATCAAATAGGATTTTGTTACTCACAAAATAGTTTAAAAAATCTGTATTAATATTAATAAATTTCTTTTATCTATCTATGATAAAATTATTTTAGTATCAAAAAATACTACTATAATGTTAAATAACTATCATATAACCTTTAAAATATAAAGAAAAGCAAATATTGGTACTTAGTTAGTTGATACACAAGATTTTAGCAAGTTTAAAGTTGAATATACAAAATTAGCTATAAGAAAATGTAATATTAAAATTTATGTTACTATTACATGATTAATTATTTTCTAAAATAAATAAAAAAAATGTTTATATTTATTAATATTTTATATATTATATAATGAATTTATAAATAATGTTTAGAATATATATATATATATAAATTCTGATTATTATTAAATTTGCTAGTAGGGTGTGGCGACCTAGTGAAGTGGTCAGGTTGTCAACCCTCCAAGTGGTAGGTTGGGTGTTCAAATCCCATCGAC